GGACATAAAAACTCCCTTGCATGGTTTCATTACGACCAGAATCGGTCTTGAGATATTTTTAACTTGATTTACAGTATTTGAGAGGTATGTCTTAACACCGATACTACAGTGCTTAAGTACTGCCAGGGCACCTCACCGTGTCAATGCGCGGTAAAACCCGTACCGCAGATTTCCACGTGCAGACTACTGCAAACTTCTGGTACGTAATTGGCTGGCTAGTGGTGCATTCATTGTTTGTGAAAAGATTGCTGCTTTTAATCTCTTTACTGTGGATGTTTGAATCTGCTTAATATTATATATTAATACGGAAATTTACAACTAAAGGGAAAGTTTGGTCGCAGACCATAAAAATAAAATTAAAAAATAAGAGGAGCATTACGTCCCTGAACGTCAAGGCTGGTATTGGTAGTTTAAGTAAAAAATGCAACTTTCTTCATAAACATTTTATGCATAAAAAAATTTCACTCTGTCACTTACTGTGGTTGTTTTGGAAAAGTCTTGACGTGCTCATCCTGACTATATAAAGTTAAGAGGAACATCATATAAGTATGTCAGTAATATGGGTTCAGGATCTTCTTAGGGCATAAGTATTTCTTCTAAAAAAGAAAAGCTCCTTCTTACAAAAATAAAATAGTAAATATTGTGTATTAACAATTATTTTTTTATTTTTTATATATATATTGCAATGTATTCATTGTTAAGTGATACTAATGTAAACTTAGGTCCTGTGAGTGTTTTGTTCAGTTGAGCAGTTTGAGGTGTTTTTGCATTGTTTGGAGTTCTCTGGTCCAATTGGTGACTAGCCTCAATGTACTGTGACTCCATGCTTTCTGATTGGTTAAGGGGGGAGAACATGACGAGGAAAGGGGGAGAGCAGGAAGTAGATAGAGAATGCGTGTGGTGTGGACGCAGAGTTCTTACTGCGGCTGTTCTCTAACAAACTGCCAAGAGAAAGAATATCCATTTCCATCCAGTTCCATTCCGTACCGACTGACCAGTAACCACTGTCACACGAACCCTACAGTTACATTAATAGTGAAATAAAAACGTAAATGAGCAAACTCATTTTGAATCCTGTCCACAGATTTAAAACCAGTTCAACCGGTTTTATTCAAATTCAGAATTATTTATTCAGTGGGGCAATTTTAACGCCTTAAAATGAAATTGTACATATTACATTATAATTATGATTGGGAATAACAAAGCAGCATTAAAAAGACTTCTGAATATATAATAATGTGTCTGATCATTATTAACAGCTGTTACGTCCCAGTGTGTGTTCTGTGCGTGTTTTTTCTGTTATTTCCACTCTGCTGACCCTTGATTGTTCTCCCTTTCCCATTGGCCCACCATTACACCACACTTTCAGTATGACGTCATCATCAATTAGCTCTCAGCCAATCAGAACACGTCTTATTTAGCATATAACATGGAGGTTTTCAGCAAGGAGAGGCCTTTCGTTTAACTTCGTTCCCGTTTGGTTTTCGCTTCGCTTTGCTTTGCTTCGCTTCGCTTCTGGTTATTGCTTCGGTTTCGTTTGTTAATTTGTTTTGCTTTGTGTGTGTGTATTTTTGTATAGCTTCGGCTTTGATGTTTTGTTGGTTTGTTGTTAGTTTCTTTGTACTTTTGTTTGTTTGTGTGTTCATCCTTGTTTTGCCATTACCTTGCCCCAGTGTTACATGTTCAACTTTTGTGTTCTTTTGTACCCTGCTCCTGTTTATTACTCTTGTTTTCCCTTATTTGTATTCCTGGTTCACTTGTGTTTTTGTGTGAACTTTTGTATATAATGTTAGTTTAGGTTGTTGGGTACACTTTACACACTTAATTTTGTACTAGTACACTACTTTAGTACGGGTGGGTGCCATTTCTCTTGTATGGTTTTGGGTAGTCAGTGCAGGTTAGCTAGGGTGTTGAAGACGCCGAAGACCCTGTGTTTCAGGTTTTCTTTTGTAGTCAGATTAGCTTTCCCTCACTGTCCTAGCCAGCTCCATTTTGTTTGTTATGTTCTTTTCTTTGGCACCACTCTAGTTCCTTACCCTTATCACGCTTCCTAGTACCTCACCAAAACCCACCTGCTTCCAAAAGAATTATCCTAAATGTAACACCCCTTTACCCCTAGACACTTGGGGTCGTAAAACAGCATTAATTTAACAATAATAATTCTTATTAAAATGCCTATTTATGAGATACAATGTTGCAGAACTCAATAACTTTGCAAAAGTGAAAGAGCCTTCAAACCACAGGCGTTTTAAAGATTGAAATGAAAGTTTAAAATTTCCACAGCTTTTATTTAAACAATATCTAGTACCTGGTTGCATTTTTAGAAACTTTCATTTGAATAAAGCGGAACGCTGGTGTAAGTGACATTAATAACAAAAGAAAGTATTATGCTACAAATTTTACATCATCCACTTTCTTCATAAACGTTTTATGCATCAGTCTTTCACTTGGTCACTTACTGTGGTTATTTTGAAAAAGTTTTGACGTGCTCATTCCAACTATATTAAGTTTATCTATTTTATGAAAAGCTTTTCTATTAATACTGGCACTCGTTTTTGTAGTAAAAAACTTGTACATTTTATAATCCGCTTAATAGGGAATATAATTTAAAATTGCGAATCTAAAGAGATTAATAACCGTATTAATTTAAGGATCTAAATATATTTATATAGCTCTAAGAACTGTATTACCGCAGTCCTTCTCTTCCTCCCTGGCTACTTGCTCCCCTCTCCTACTAAACAAGCATTCTGTCTCTTCACAGTGATCTGTTCCAAGACCAGGCTTTCTAAACACCTCCTATTCCTTTACAGATGTCGTAAATGATACCCAAGGAAGGCTTCACAACTGACATGTGTTTTCCTTCTTCTCTTTTCAGCATGGAATAAACCTATTACTTATTCCTTTGCAGACCTTAAATTT